GGTGACCTGTTAGGGTCTAAAATAACAAGTAACATGTAAAAGTTGAGTCTTTTTCGGAAAAGAAAAAAATTTTAGGTCTAAAAAGAAAAAAAGTCAAAATATAGGGTTTTTTTTATGGAAATAACCCTCAAAAATCTTATCTGTGATGGTTTAATACTTGACACATCTAGAAAATAAATCAACTACAAAGTAAAACAAAAAATGTCCTTTTTCTTAAATCGGAAATAGAAGTATCTACTATCTAGAGTCCATATATTACTCTCCTCTCTTTTCTTTTGTTGTTTTTTTCTTTGTGTATTATATATTTTAATTATATGTAATTGTGAAATTGTGTTATTTAAAGTTTGATGCCTATTTTTGTAATTGTTTATTGTAATTAACTGATTATATTGTCAAATATTGACTTGGTTATGTGATTGTTCGAATTTTGAAGTTAATTGTCTATGTTTATGCTAAAACTATGAATGGTTTGAAATTTGACTATTTAGTTCAATAAATTAAGAGTAAATTGCATAAAAATCGTTATATTTTTATTTATTCCGATTTTGACATTCTGTTTTTTTATTGCAATTTAATACTATGTTTTTTGATTTGTTGCAATATTGATCATTTTACCCGGTCATCTAGTTGCCACTGTTGACGTGGCATGGGACGTTGACGTTGCATGATGACATGACATGTTGACATTCATTATTTGGTTATGTAACGTTGACGTGACTTAATGACGTCTCAAACTCTAACAAAAAGTGGCACAAAAGACACAAAATTTTCAATTTTGATTTTGATAGTCCCATTATTTTTTGTTTTAATTTTGACACTCCATACATATAATTCGAAAAGGAAAAGAGAGAACGGAAGGACAAGGACTCAAGGCTTACCGGGTCATGTTCCTTTAGTGATCCAATTTACAAAGTGTTATATTCACCTATAAGTTAATTGTGAAATGTTTTTATTTCATAGTGAAATACTAATACACATTTTCTTCGAATGCGGTAATTTTTGCCCGACACAATCAATGAATCATGTAGCCAGCCAGATCACTAATGTTTCGGACAAAGAGAATTCATGATTCACCACGGCTATTCCGTCTAGTTACCCACATAACATGTTTGTTAACTTGTTATTTATTTAAAACGCTTACCCTCTCTATCCTAAAAAGAAGATAGTGTTTGATTTGGTATATAAAGAGTTTTTTCAAGAATATTTAAATACTTATATAGCCCTGTAAATACAAAAGTAAAATAAAAACTAAACTATGGTCCAAAATCATTGTCACCAAACCTTTTATAATGGTTGCTAATTAATTAATGTCAAACAAGTCATATAATTTGTTATATCCTAAATAAACCATAACCGTTTAACGAAAACAACGTAAGCCATGAAGTCACTTCATGTTAAATAATATTTTTGGCTTCCAAGTTCCAAGCATATTTCTACCAACATCTCTCCATATAAAACCAAACAAAGTCTAGACATTTTAAATAATGAACATGACTCCTCAAGAGTTCATAAAAAATCGACTAATATCGTAGGGTTTCAAGTTTTACCAGGTCAACAAACCACCATCTTTCATTCGTTTTTTTATTAAGCTTATATAAATACATCAAACTTCCCATTTTCTAACACCAATACCATCTATCATAACCTTAAACATGTACGACTCAAACGACAACCCACATTTACTAATATACCCTTTTAATGCATCCGGCCATATTATCCCCTTACTCGACTTCACACACCACCTCCTCCGCCATGGCCTCACCATCACCATCATCATCTCCTCCTCCAACCTCCCTCTACTCCACCCTCTCATCTCTTCATACCCCTCTTCCCTCCACAAACTTCTCTTCTCCGACCCCGACCCTGACCACCACCCATCTCCTCATCCCCTTATCGCCAAAGTAATTGCCACCCAACAAATGTTTAACCCCATCGTCCGATGGTTTCAATCCCACCTTTCACCGCCAGTGGCCATCATCTCTGACTTCTTTCTTGGGTGGACCAATGAACTCGCCGCCCACCTAGGTATCCGACGTGTGGTGTTTTCTCCTGCAGGTGCGTTAGGTTCTTCCATTTTTCATATGTTGTGGCGAGATCTACCGGAGATTAACGCGCTCAATGGTGACAGAGATGAAAGCTTCTTGCTTTCTTTACCGGAAATTCCCAACTCGCCGGAATTTCCTTGGCGGCAGTTGTCACCGCTGTGGCGTAGTTACAAAGAGGGAGAACCGAATTTCGAATCTTTCAGGAAGGGTGTGATAGGTAATATGACCGCATGGGGAATTGTGTATAACACTTTTGAAGATTTGGAAGGGGTTTATATTGAGCACATGAAGAAACAGATTGGGCATGATTGGGTTTGGGCCGTGGGCCCGTTACTCCCCGACGAAGATGGCCCGGCGGGACGTGGCGGGTCGAGTGCAGTGCCACCTGATCACTTGCTCATGTGGTTGGACAAAAAGCCCGACGACTCTGTTGTATATATATGCTTTGGGAGCATAGAGAGATTAAGTGAGAATGAAATGAGTGTATTGACAAGTGCGATTGAACTCAGTAACGTTGACTTTATATTGTGTGTAAAGACAAGTGATTTGAAGTTTATCCCAAGTGGATTTGAAGATCGGATGAGTGGTCGAGGGTTGATAGTCAAAGGTTGGGCCCCACAGTTGGTGATACTCAGACATCGAGCTGTTGGGTCGTTTGTAACTCATTGCGGGTGGAACTCAACATTGGAAGGGGTTGCAGCAGGTGTCATGATGCTGACGTGGCCACTGGGTGCGGATCAATTTGCAAATGAGAAGCTATTGGTAGACCAGTTGGGTGTTGGGAAACGAGTTTGTGAGGGTAGACCCGAAAATGTTCCTGACTCGGTCGAGTTGGCTGAGTTGTTGGATGAGTCACTGAGTTGTGATAGACGGGAACGAGTTAAAATTAAGAAACTGAGCCAAGCAGGCATCAAGGCGGTCAAAGAAGGAACATCCATGAGGGATTTGGATATGTTCATCAACCAACTTTGTGAGCATTAATATCATTAGGAAAAGACTGAACAGCCAATAGCCCAATAGTATAAATCTCTCCAAGATTCCTTCATGCACATGATGCCAATCCCGGTCAAGCTTCATCTCTCTGGATAAATGGGAGGCAAAACAAATTTAATTAGTACCTCTTTCAGATCAAGTGTTGTGTAACGAATCCTTTAATAAATTTTCAACAGGAATTTATACAAATCACTTGTACACATCACTTACAGCAATAATCCAAACCAAAAAGAAGTAAAGTTAGCTTTCATTATTGATATGAGACGGAACAAATAAATTTCTAAATGACAAACAAAAACAATCTCGACACCACCGATGCCAATATTGCACCGAATCATGTCGCCCTTTTCATAACAATTCACATTATAAAAGTACAAGCTACAATCAGTATATGCATTAAAAAGATCTCACAAGAAGCATCTCTGGGTGTGTGTTTCAAAAATATAATCCGATTTAGTGCTCGCTTTGTAGGATTAGGGTTTTACCTTTTGTATTTCAAAAGCAATCGAGAACGAGAAAAAATAAGGGAGCTATGGCGTCACATCCACCAATCCATAACCAAAATCACTACTAGAAAACTGGTCGATTTCCGACGGCCATATCCGTCGGAATCCGTCGCTTTACAAGATTTCCGACGGAATTCCGACGGAACTCGGTTTGTCGTAAAAAGCCTCATGGGTAATTATTTGTGATGGAATACCGACGGGATTTCCGACGGACAGCGACGGCCATTTGTCGGACCTCTTTGACCAAATTAACGACACAATACCGACAGAGTCCCGACGGATACTATTTGTGACGGATTACCGATGGAAACTTCTTTGTAATGGATTACCGACGGATAATTTTAGTCACGGATTACCGACGGAACCATAAGTGACGGATTACCGACGGAATTGTAAGTGACGGGTTACTGACGGATTACTGACGGATTTTCTTACCTTTTCGTTTGTGACTATACCGTCACTACTCCGTCGGTAAAATGATTTTTTAAAAATAAAAAATAATTAAAAATAAAAAAAAATCCAAATTTTTTTCCACATAATGCAAAATGTAAACCAAAGTGAATACATAAAAAAGAAATACGATAAACTGTCACAAAATGTGATCACCACATACGATTACCATATTTAATTAACCGTAACAATACACTAATTAGTATTCCAAAATACCTAATTAAACATCATACTCCGGATGGGATTACTGAACATAACTAAAAAGTGTCACAAAATACGATTACCAATTTTTTAGATTAGAAACATAAACTAATTTCCTTGTGGCGGATTTCCGGAGAAATTGTTTTGCTTGAAAAACTATGTCATTTGTGCTTCAAGCAAGGCATGCTTTTTTCACATCTCCTCCATTTTCAATTCCCTTTGTGCGTCCCGTGCTTCCTTTTGTGCTTCAGCTTCACGCATGCTAGCCATTTCATTGCGCAATCTTTCTACCTAAAAATGGTAAGACAAACATAAATAGTTAATAAAACCATTATAGCAATGTACTTATGATAACAACATATTTTCATTTTTTATCCATTATAGCAATCAAAGTACTCATTATAACATGCTATACTTTTTGTCCATTATAGCAACATACTCATAATAACAACTTACTTTGAGTTTTTTTTATCCATTATAGCAATCAATTTAATCCATATTAACAACATACTATACTTTTTGTCCATTATAGCAACATATTCATAATAACAACATACTTTGACTTTTTTACCCCTTATAGCAATCAAATACTCAAAATAACAACATACTATACTTTTTGTCCATTATAGAAAATACACAAAATAACAACATACTTTGACTTTTTACCCATTATAGTAATCAAAGTACTCATAATAACAACATACTACACTTTTTATCCATTATAGCAATGTACTAATAATAACATACTATACTTTTTATTCATTAAAGTAATGTACTAATAAAAACAACATGCCTCTTCATTTTGCACATAATGTGAGCCCCCGTAAACAAAAACTGACTATCGGCAGTCCCAATCCCATATATGCGACCCTTGTGGGTCCCTTTCTGTGCAACTGTGACATGTTCCATACATCAACATTGTCCACATGCTTTGTGGGATCATCTCCATATTTCTCAATCAGTCCCCTCATATATGCATCCTATAATTTACCAAAATAACATCATTGTGATTATAACAAAAATTGAGACTGTCAAAATATAGAAATGATAAAGTTAACTTACATGTGTCTGACGTGCAGTCTCTGAGCAAAAGTGCAAATTGGAATGATCACCTTCAAAATATCTTTACTTCGATTCCTTATCAAGACGGATCTTCATAAATAGATCCAACCATGATGGATCTTTACCTGTTGCTTCTTTCTGTTAGTTATAGCTGTTTTGTATATTTTCTATACTTTAGGGGCCCTCTTGTAACTTTGTAATATTGTTT